TGTATGAAAAGCAACAAAAGGAAAAAAAAAAGGAAATTTGCAAAGCTTACTTGTCCATGTTCTGGAGGTAATTAAACCCTAAAGATTTTATCAGTGGAGAAGCTAAATCTCAAAAGCACCTTTTAACACAGCCCTGTGTGAAGTTTGTGGACAGCATGAGGAAACTGCAGATCATATCGTTGCAGGATGCCCTTTCGCTAGGACCTTCTGGGCCAAACTTGGTTTTAACTTGCCATTGGACTACTCCACCTTCCTAGATGATCTTCATTGCATTGGAAGGCCGGCTTCAGTACCCTGTAAGCATTTCAGCACATTCATAGCGCTATGCTGCTGGCAGCTCTGGAAGCGCAGGAACAGTGTGATCTTCAAGTCTGAACTTGCCTCTACAAGGCAAACTTTGGTGGCATGCATCTCCGACGCAAATCTTTGGAGAACGAGACTGCCAAGGAATGATAGGGCTGTCGCGGATGCCTGGATTGGTGCTTTTTCAGCAGCTATGCGATAGGAATCTTGTAATGTAATTTCGCTGCAAAAATTATCTTGTGATCAAAGATGTACATTGTACTTTACACTTTCTAACTGTCTAAGGGCAGTTCTTGGGCAATAAAAATTCAGGTGGGGATCTCCCCGTTGACCTTAAAAAAAAACACCTTTTAAAATTCTTTAGGAAATGAAACGTTTTCTGCATTTTATATGGGTCTTCAGGCCCGGTTGAGGATTTGGACAAGCGCAGTACGAAGGATTCAATTTTTCATCAACAAAAATGTTACTAGAAACAGTCAAATATGCCCATAAATCTGTCAGTCTTATACCAGCCTTCGCAAATCGAAACTGTTCTGTTTTGACCTGATCATTATTGGTTTTCAGAACCAGCCACTCAGCCAGTAATTGTATTCGCAGACAGTCACCAACTGTACCCCGGATTTTCAACGATATTCTGGCAGGTTAGCTAAAGGAACTTGTCTGTTTTCTGGAGGTAAATCCTGAAGATTTGATGACTGCCTTTGTCACCCTCACCATTCGTCTTTAGAGAACCAGTCAGTATTTGATGAAGGTGCTGACGTGAGGGTTGGCGATGGCAAGAAGGGTCAGAAAAAGGTCCACGGTGGACAAAAACTAATAGCAAGTGCCAAGTCTTTCGTCACAAAAGAATGCAGTGCTTGACAAGTAAACGAAACTAGAGATGTCACCTCTGAAAATGACGCACGCACCAGCATCTTTCTATATGTTTTATCATATGTTAGTACCTGAACCATAGATGATGCATCAGGTGGTAATAATGCATTTAGAATGGATTAATTCTAAAGGAACATTTATCGGTGTACGACCGATCGTTGACTCGTGCGTTTACATCGATCAATCTTACAATTACGCATCTTTATGGTCGTTCAGACTACTGGACATCGGTGTTATCCACTAAAATGATGACGTTTATCAGCTTTGCAAAAATGATCCGCACCAACAAAGAGACGCACGTCATGACTCATAAGCCAACTGCCTGCAGAAAGCAGAGTACACCTGGAGATTTGTTTCATGTGAAGCTCCGCGGAAATAGCAACGGGAAGACGAAGGAAGGTTACTTTCCGGAGCTTGCCTAGCCGTATTAGAGCCAGACAAGAAGTTGGAACAATATAAGGTGTTTGATGCTTCGGAAATGCTCCGCGTCCGGCCGTCCGGACGACGGCTTCCCGGGCTTCCCGGGCCTGTGCAACGAACTGCCTCAACAGGCCCGCACTTCTCTATTAAAAAAAACTACTGGACGCCGATTCCCCAATCCTCTTCGCTCGCCCGTCGCGGAATTCTTCACCGCCACACGACACCATCGACCACCGCGGTAGATTCCACCGCATTGCCCGCCGCTCGCCTTCTCCAGCGCGGGGCCGCTCATCGCGATGTTCTCCAGTGTGGGGGCGCCTCGCCGTGGGCACGGCAACAGCCTGTCGTGACCTTCTCCAGTAGTGGGGGGCGCCTCGCCGCGGGAGGCCGCACCCGCCTGACCGCTGCTGCTGCCTCCACCGCGGGAGGCCGCACCCGCCTGACCGCCGCTACTGCCTCCACTCGCCATCGAGCCCGTGCCGCCGCAAATTCCGGCGTGGTCCACAACAACCGCTGCGGCGCGCCCGGGCGCCATCCTTCCTCGGTTCCCCACAAGGTAGGCCGTGGTCACCGGCGATGTCGTGTTTCAGGTATTTCAGATGTATGTGTTCAAGTGTTTCATCTAGATGTTGCGTATGTTGCAATGGCTATACACGCATGTTGCAAGCGTATGTTTCATGTTGCAAGCATATGTTTTATGTGTTTTAAACATATGTTTCAAGTGTTATATCTGGATGTTGCAGAAGTATATGTCTGAATGTTGCATAACATGCATGTTGCAAGTGTATGTTTCAGGTGTTTCATACGTATGTGGTAAGTGTTTCATATAGATGTTGCAAAAGTAGATCTAGATGTTACATATGTTTTTGCAATAGATTTCAACTGCTTTCAGGTGTTTCAGACGTATTTTCAAGTGTTTCAACTATTTCAGACATATGTTGCCAGTGTTTCAGCTGTTTCAGACGTATGTTGCAAGTGTTTTTATCTGGGTGTTGCAAAAGTAGATCGGGATGTTACACATGTTGCAGTTGGACCCACCTACTGCAGGCGCCTGCCGCTGCAGCTGGGGCGCCATCGTGGGTCACCGTGCGGGGGCCTAGGGCCGGCAGACTCCTCCGCAGGCGGGGCAGGTGACTGGGACCCTCGCGGGTTTCACGCGTGCGGGCGCGACAATCATCGAGCAAAACAGAGCGAGCGCGATGGTAGGGGCGGGAAGCAGCGTGGGGTCCACGTGGTGGGGCACACGAAAATAGGCAGGCACGGGCTCTTTTATGTGCGCGGTAGCGTCCGTACGCTACCGTCCCATACGAACGTCCGGGCACTAGGAAGTCTGTTAATGCTTTGCTACCTGCCCTGTGAAAAGCACTAGATATATATTTGTGCTTTACACCGGGGCCATAATTTTTTAACTGAAGCTAAGTAATCGGATGCGGACACATGGATCCGGTCTTCGTATCAAAATCGGATAGATTATGGACACGTGAGCTCCGGTTTAGGATAATTTGTCTCAAACACCGACATATGAGCATGGATTGAGATCTGGTATCATCGGATAGATGATCACGTTATAGTCATTTTAGGTGTAGAGATTTGATTCGATAAGCCAATTTGACTCTCTTTGTAGGCGAAGCGAACATGAGCGAGAAAACCAAAGGTGCCCAACTTATCATGAATCCATGGTATAGGTTGAACGTGGAGTGCTTGTATGTGCGCACATGTTGCGTAGAGAGGGCATGGATTTAAGAGCCAAACATTGTAATTTAATGAACAGGTACCCTCACATGATATAAGTGTTGTTATATGAAAGTTGTCTTTTTGGATTTATATTTAGAAGCTTTTTTCTGATCTTAACGCTATATACTCCTTCAGTCTAAAAATCTAAAAAAGGAACGAAAATCTTGCTTCTAATCGTAAGTTTGACCAAATATTTATAATATTGTAAGAGCATTTTCAAGAGTACCTAATATTTTCTTTCTAAAAACATAAAGTTTAACAACTCCTAAAAAATATATTGGAAGGAATAAAGAAGGCCATCTGCAAGAGTTTCTAATAATCCACTTCTAAAATATAAAAGATAATTTTACATCAGGAATCTTATATTATTTCTAAATTATTCTAACCACTTTTATATATTCTTTTTCTCTTGTATATTTGCATCAGGAAACCTTTCCTACTCTTTATTCTTTCTACATCCTTTCATCTTTAGATTGACCAACAAACACGCGAGGGAGAGAAAAGATACGCGCGACTCAGAAGCGTGTAACTTTACGCGGAAGATGGTGACTTTTCCCAAGTTCTAAAAGATTGGGAGGATGGATTAGAAATTGTTGGAGAGGGGTTTTTTCTTATCTTACTAAAAATCAATGATTAGGAAATGATTTAGAGAACTCTTGAAGATGCTATAAGTATTATCGGAATAATCATGATATATATAAATATATTCTCATAATTTTCATAATTAACTTATTCAGATATAAAAATGTTAATATTATTTCTTATAAATCTTGTTAAATTTGAAAAGATCTGATTTTTCGAGAAACATGATATCCATTTTCTACCTAGGAAACTGAAGTTATCGGCTACCACCAACGTTTTTACTCTACAACGATTCGTATGGTCGTCCCTTTTCTACTACGGTTCTCTCTTTAATTTAGCCGCCTTTTAATTTGCAGTTCGGCAGGCGACGGGGCCATCCTGGTTCCGGCACCACATTTTGCCCGCTCGCGCTACGTAGTTGCACCTAGGGTGAAAACGGTACCGATATCTTCTTACTATATTCGAAACCAAATCTGTTTAGAGGGGTTTAAAATTGTCCATATCCAAATCCGGATATTGAACATCTGATACCGTATCTGTATTTAAATACTCAAATCGCATATTCAGGACCTGTTTGGTTAGGTGTCACTAAAGTTTAGTGATTGAACTTTAGTCATTTTAGTTACTAAAATGCCAAACACCCTGGCTAAAAGGGATCACTAAAGTTTAGTGGCTTTAGTCACCAAGGGTAGCTAAAAGTGACTAAAAGTGGTCCCAGGTGACTTTACTCTCTTTCTCTCTCCTCTCCTTTTCACTTTTAGCACATAGATCTAAACATAAGGTCACTAAACTTTAGAGGAGTGACTAAACTTTAGAGGTGTGACTAAAGGAACAAAGCATGCCCTTATAATGTGAATGTTCAATCATATCCGGCTGACACTATCCGTATTCTAATCCAAATCCGAACAGAAATATGAAAACAAATGTAATACCAGCGATATTCCCATCCGTTTTCATTCCTAGTTGCACTTGCACCGGCAGTGCAAAACATATATAGCCGATCAGCGTAGCTGCGTAGCCACCATCACAGTTTCTTCCTTGCTCATCATCATTTGCGGCACGTAACTCGATCTGCTGCAGGAGACGCGATGTCCAAGGTGCCTTCTGTTTTGCTCTTACTTTGATCCGCCATGCATGCATGTGCTCCCTTATAAATATATGTTCAACAAAAAAATACAATTCTCTCTTGTCGAGAAGTCAGACAATTTTTAGAATTCTTACTGATGCTCTCGTGTTGAGAAGTTGTCAGACAATTTTTAGAGTTCTCACTGATGATAGCTTGGGCTCGTCGTTGCTGCAGCAAAAGATCGTGATCAGGCTGGGCGAACCGATCGACAAGAACGGGTCTAAAGCCATGCAGCTGGCATCCAAATCTGTTGGTATACATCCATCACACTAGCTTGCTATTATCTTGATCGTCGCGTGTGGGATCCGTCCACATATCCATGATGTATACGCAGGAGTGAACTCGGTGGCGATCACCGGCGACGCCAAGGACCGGCTGGAGGTGGTAGGAGAAAGCATCGACATCGCCTGCCTGATCAATCACCTGCGCAAGAAGGTCTGCCGCGCCGACATCGTTGTGGTGGAGGAAGTGAAGGACAAAAAGAGGAGGAGGAGGAGGAGGAGAAGAAGAAGAAGAAGAAGGAAGAAGAAGAGAAGAAGAAAAAGGCGGAGGAAGAGCTCAAGAAGCTCTGCACTTACCCGCCGCCGTGCACCGGTTATTTACCGCCGGCCGCCGACGGTTTTCTGCGAGGATCAGCCAGCACTGCCTACCACATCCTGTGAAGATGCTTAAGATGGATTTTGCCCTGCATATGCTTAATATGCTTGTGATTTCGGTTCTGAACTTTTTGCCATATCGACGGTCAGCTTCTCTCCGTGAATCGTCCTGTCCACATGTGCACAAACGTGGTTCTGTTTTGCTTTGGCTTCTTCCAATCGGCAGTGATCATGAAATTTAGATTACTACTATGTATATAAGTGTTTTGAGTTTGTTTTAAGTTAAAATGTTCTAAATTTGATCAGGTTGTAAATGAAAGCAAATGTTCTAAATCTACCACTGTAGCTGCCGCTATTTCCAGATATAGTTGTTTGCAGGGAACTATTTGCAGAGGGTACAGGGCCGTCTCGACAATTTTAAGGGTCTTTAGACAAGAAAGAGATAAGGGTCTTGCAATCTAATCTTTTAGGGCCTACATGGCATGGATCTTGTTCTGGCACCAACAACAGCTTTTGTGGAGGAGCCAAAGGAGTTGTATCAAAAACTTTATAAGGATGATCTGTTTTCTAGTGAATAACTGTCTAGCCGTAGCCATTTTTGGATCGGAAGAGGAGCTGCAATCTGTGGCTCCTTCTCAAGTGCTTCTACTCCTCCGAAGAAGCACTTGAAGAGGAGTCACGCCAATTTAACCGTTAATATAACGATTAAAGTGTATAGTATTACTAATAAGAGTTAACTTGCAGCATATGTTGAAAGCGATCGGGAATAGCTGAATATTGGAATTGGAAGTGGTGACAAGCTAATTCCTGATTGCCTGTGCTAAGTGTATATAGGTGTCGGGTATCGATATTAGGAATACCCGGAGGAAGAAAGTTAACGGCCACGAACATTAATTCGCTCGGATGGTCCAAGACGTATTTAAGGTCTCGCTCGACCCCAAGGGCGCGAGCTCCGTCTCGCCCGACCCCGAGGGTGCGGGCTCCGTCTCGCCAGACCCCGAGAGCGCGGGCCCCGTCTCGCCAGACCCCTCGGCGCGGACTCCGTCTCGCCCGACCCCGAGGGTGCGGGCTCCGTCTCGCCAGACCCCTTGGACGCGGGCTCTGTCTCGCCCGACCCCTCGGGCGCGGGCTCCGTCTCGCCAGACCCCTCAGACGCAGGCTCCGTCTCGCTAGAACCCTCGGGCGCGGGTTCCGTCTCGCCCGACGGGGATCCATACCGCCTCCAACCACTACGGGTCTAAGAGTACGACCCTAGGGTCAAACTTCTAACACCGAGAAGGAAGCGGGCAAGTCTCGACGTGACCCGTGGCCACGACGGACCATACCTGGGTGCGGACGCTAAGACAGCGGCGAGGACCGGAGCTCGAGCCCTGACTTGCCGGGACCTTAGACCTTCGGCCGACACATCCTCAACGTCACCTTCCCACTGCGGTACCGACTGCCGAATAACATCCCGAAATACTCCGGGGAAACTGTAACACCCTCGATGTTACGCCCAAAATAATCTACTAAATCATGTCATGAGCATCATGTTTATGTAATAATGCATGTGATAGAAAGTGTTGATAAATTTCTTGTAGCCTAAAATGACCAATAAAAATGTTAAATGGAAATTTATTCAACAACTCATGTTATGTCAAGTAGGGTGGAAAAACTATTTTTTTATTGAGCAAAAATACTATAGAACATATGTGTGATACTTAAATAAAGTTTGAAGTACAAACTTTGTAGATGACAATGAAATACTTGCTGCGAAAAAATAACATTGTTAACTAACATTTCTAATAGCCTAAAAATGGAACCTGGAATCAAATTTAGCTCAAGGACTTAGAAGAATTTAAGTATATATATACAACAAGACAATGCCATGTTTGGTAATTTATTTTGTGAAATCGAGTTAAGAGATGGTGTCATGTTTTAGCTCGGGTTGGCAGCCTAATATGCTCTCTTGAGCATGAGGAAGACGGTTTCGATTCAGAAGCAACCGTTTAGTTGTTATAGGCGCTTTAAAATGCGTGCACCACATGTTCTCGGGCTGGCTCGCCGGGTGGACGGAGTCACCAAGCTCGGGCGCTCGGTGTCACCGCGTTGGTCGCGCGTGCGCGCGTGGCCTGCCGTGGTTGCCTCTGGCCTAGCTATGGCCCAACCGCCGCTGGCCCCGTCGCGCAGAGCCGCTGCTGCTGCCACCTGCCCCTCCCTGCACCGCTATGCCGTGCTGCTGAAAGGTCCTAATATGGCTAGAGGGGGGTGAATAGCCTATTTAAAAACTACAAATCAACTAGAGCAATTTGATTAGTAAGACAAATAGCGAAATGCAAACTTGCTCTAGCTCTACAAGGGTTGCAAGCCACCTATCCAACAATTCTAGTTGCAATGATCTATTTGCACACAATCTACTTGACCACTACTCACTAAGAGCTCTCACAAAAGCTACACTAAAGAGCTCCACTAGATATGTTTAAAGCACAAGGCAAGCTCTCAATTCTAATTACACTAAAGAGCTTGCTATATCTAGTTTGCGGAAATGTAAATGAGTAAGTGAGACGATTATACCGCCGGGTCGTGGAGTGAACCAATTACACGATGAATATATAGCCAATCACCGGGAGAATGCAAATGACAAGAGACAACCAATTTTTCTCCCGAGGTTCACGTGCTTGCCAACACGCTAGTCCCCGTTGTGTCGACCAACACTTGGTGGTTCGGCGGCTAAGAGGTGTTTCACAAACCTCGTCCACACGATAGGACACCGCAAGAACCGACCCACAAGTGAGGTAACTCAATGACACGAGCAATTTACTAGAGTTACCTTTCGGCACTCCGCCGGGGAAGGTACAACTCCCCTCACAATCACCGAAGGCGGCCACGAACAATCACCAACTCGTGCCGATCCTTCACCGCTGCTCCAACCGTCTAGGTGGTGGCAACCACCAAGAGAAACAAGCGAAATCCGCAGCGCAACACGAATACCAAGTGCCACTAGATGCAATCACTCAAGCAATGCACTTGGATTCTCTCCCAATCTCACAATGATGATGGATCAATGATGGAGATGAGTGGGAGGGCTTTGGCTAAGCTCACAAGGTTGCTATGTCAATGAAAATGTGCAAGGGTTTTTCTTTGAGCCGGCCATGGGGCTATAAATAGAGCTCCCATCAAATAGAGCCGTTGTACCCCTTCACTGGGCAAAACACGCTCTGACCGGACGCTCCGGTCATACCGACCGGACGCTGGCCCTCAGCGTCCGGTCGCCCGATGGACGCCACGCGTCACCAGCTTCAAACGATGTTCGTCAGATTTCAACGGCTACGAAGCTGACCGGACGCTCCGGTCAAAACTGACCGGACGCTGAAGCCCCAGCGTCCGGTCGTTTCCAGTAAGCTCCCCGAGGCGTATTTCTTCGACCGGACGCGTCCGGTCCACCTTGACCGGACGCAGACCAGCGTCCGGTGCTCAACCCTTCCCACTGTGCCGTCTGACAGCTCGACCGGACGCAGCCTTTCAGCGTTCGGTCGCTGAGTGACCCAGCGTCCGGTCAGTAGACCGACGCCAGCATCATTTCGACCAACTCCATTTCAACTCTAACTTCTTCACCCTTGCTCAAATGTGCCAACCACCAAGAATTTTGCATCCGGTGCAATAGAAAATAGACATTTCATTTTTCCAAAAGCGCCGAATCCCGCCGACCCAAACCCATCTCAACCCTGCAAACACCTTGTGCACATGTGTTAGCATATTTTCACAAATATTTTCAAGGGTGTTAGCACTCCACTAGATCCTAAATGCATATGCAATGAGTTAGAGCATCTAGTGGCACTTTGATAACCGCATTTCGATACGAGTTACACTCCTCTTAATAGTACGGCTATCTATCCTAAATGTGATCACACTCACTAAGTGTCTTGATCACTAAAACAAAATGGCTCCTATATTTTATACCTTTGCCTTGAGCCTTTTGTTTTTCTCTTTCTTCTTTTCCAAGTTCAAGCATTTGATCATCACCATGCTATCACCATTGTCATGATCTTCGTCATTGCTTCATCACTTGGAGTAGTGCTACCTATCTCATAAACATCTTGATAAACTAGGTTAGCACTTAGGGTTTCATCAATTAACCAAAACCAAACTAGAGCTTTCAGCTGCGCTGCTGTCGCTCGCTCTGCCACCACGTGCATGTGGGTTGTCTCGGCTGCGCTCACGCCGTCGCCTCGCCTTAATGGCACTGTGGCCGCGTAGGTCGCGCCCCCACTTGCCTCCCCGTGCGCACGTGGTCTGGTCGCGTGTCGCGTAGCGAGTGCACAGACACGATCGTGGGTCCGGCCGACCGCTAGCTACCAAGGTGAGGACGGCCAAAGCTCGGACCCATCTCGCGCCAGCATGTTAGTGTAGGATCTCTGGTTGGCCTAGCAGGGGGAATAGACCTATCAAAATAAACACTCAAACTTTTATCAAATTCACCCTGCGGCACAACCGCTCTGGAGGGCGGCACTGCCGGACCAGAATAGCGGCACTGCCGCACCTGCAGAAAACTTTGAGTCACAGTTCAAAATCAGTAAACGAAAACTTAGATCAAATTTTTTTTCATCCTACTGCAGGTATGATAGTCACAGATCAAGAGCTAGAAGTTGTAGGAACACCACACACAAGTACATCGACTAGAAACTCTAGAAATCACCTCAACCAACAATATGAAATGCCAGTAATGTAAATCATGCACAAGTCACACAATGATTTATCCAATGATTCGGCTCGCCACCAAGGCTTGCCTACCTCCACGTTGTTGAGGTTAGCCACTAAGGCTTAGGGCTTTCCAACCCTTTCTCGTTCTCAAGTCAAGAGACTTAACTCTAGAGATGAGAGGTGAGTTTACCAGCTTCAAGAGATGGTTACAAACCTCCTAGGGCTGCCACACAAGTTGGCAAGCTCCACGGGTGATGCTCTAGCCGGCTAGGAGCCAAGCTCCAAGAGTAACAAACACAACCGCCGACCAAAATGTGAACCAAGTGCTCTTTTGAGTTGAGAAATCAATGGAGCTGCTCTCTAATCGAGTTTTGGACCCTTTTCTCTCAAGGATTG